AACATCGAGATGAGCTTATATCGTTAAAAATGTCAATAATTAAGAAATGACCTTGTATCTTGTGAATTATTGACATTTTTAATGATATAAGCTCATCCCGATGTTACACTCATCAAGACCTTTCATTTGAGTACCCACATGCATTTTGATATATTTTTCATATATACATATATATAAATATATAAATATATGAAAAATTGATGTGGGTATTCATATGAAAGGTCTCGATGAGTGTAACGTCAAGATGAGCTTATATCTTTATAAATGTCAATAGTTAAGAAAGTACAGTGCAATTTAACAAAATTCATTATTCAATAAAGGAAAATTTTATTTATTTATAGTTCAAAAGTCACGACAGTCACATAGTGACTGCAAGATTGCTAGTAAATATTAATTTATAATTAAAATTACCTTAAAAATATCGCTCTAGTAGCTTTACTTCCTTCATGAGCAATAGCTTCCTCCAGGATTTCACCCGACCTGGGATCGACAATCCGTATTTTTTTGTCTTTACACGTAGTCACCAGTCTCGAGCCGTCCCAGTTCCAGCAGGCCGAGTAGACGACATCAGGATGGCAGTTTATTTTGACAACAGCTTCTCCGGTACCGACGTTCCAAATTATCACGAGATTGTCGGAGCCCGCGGTCAGCAGGACATTGAGCGCGGTCGGGTGCCATAACACCAAGCCAACTCGTCGTTGATGGAGCTGCAAGTCGACGACCGGCTCCGTGAGCGTACGCGAAATCCCACTGTCTGGAATCTGCCAAACTTTCACCACGCAGTCCTCTGAGCCAGAGGCGATAACATTGTCATTGTGTGGGCACCAGGCGATATCTAAAACAGGACCTTTGTGGCCACCGACCAGTGGATGATCTGCGGATATCCTGCCCACCTGATAAGGATATCAATTAGTAATTCTTATCATGAATGAACCAGGGAAGTGAATAACATTATTATCTTCATTTTATTGTTATTGTTATTGTTATTTTTCAGTAAATAAATACCAGAAGTTTCAATCAACAAGTCTTTCAGAGACTTTTAAAATTTAAATGCTTGTTTTAAATTTAAATAAAATTCAAGGTCTTTTATCAATTTATTTTGATTTTAAATTAAATATTAAATTATAAAAATATGAAAATTTTTAAGCAGCTTATTTTTTATTTTTATTAAAAATTAATTATTAAAAAAATTTTAATATTAAAATATTAAAAAAAAATTTCTTTCTAAATTTTTGGAAGTGAAATTTTATTTATAGAAATAAAAAAAAATGACGAATGATTATTAATTTTAGTAGAATCAATTTTTTTTTTAAATTCAATAAATCAAAATTAAAAAAAAACAACAATTAGAAATGAAATTTAAAATAATTTTTACTTAGCACTGATTTCAAATAAAATTAATTTTTTTTTGCTTTTTTTTTATTAAAAAAAGTAGCAAAATATGAAGTTTAAAAAAAAAACTTTATTATCAAAATCTGAGAAATTTAATATCTAAAAACTTCACTCTACTTTATCAATAGTATCAATGATTCTTAAATTAAGAGACATCTTATCAACTTTTAGAATTTTTTTTAACAAAAATTTTATCAAAAAAATTTATTTAAAAAAAAAAAACTCGATACTTATAAGCTCAAAAAAAAAGTGAATGCATTTTTTAAATAAAAATAACAAAATTTTCAATTGCCTGCTAATTTTCGTGTCGTTAAAATAAAATGAAAATTAAATTAGCTGACATTTAAAATTTTTTTTATTAAAAAAATTTTATTTGTAAAAAATTATAAGTGCAATTTTAAAAAAAATTTTTTTAGTTCTAATTTAATAAAAAAAAAATGATACTGAATTTTACAAAGACCGAAAAATTTTTTTAACTAAAAAAATTAAGTGACAAAATTCCAAATGTAAAAATCAAAAAAAATTATAAGTGTGAATTTTCTTATACTAATTGAGCTGTCATAAAAATTCCCAGAATTGTCAGATGTCTGCTAATTTCAGTATCATAAAATGAAAATTAATGTAGCATATATATATTTAATAATTTTATAAAAAATAAATGATGAAAAAAAAATAAATGAGAAAAAAAATTTTTTTAAAATAATTTTTTGGAGCAAATTTTTTTGTTAAATAAAATAAAAAAAATTGTCAAGTAACTGGTAACGTTAATAATGTGATATCATAAAATAAATAAAAAAATGAAAAACGTCGACAAAGTAAAGTATTATTAATATAAAACAGGTGAATAAAATAAAATACCTTATTATGTGGTAAAACAATAAAAGCACCACCTCCAGCAGATTCAACAATGATAGCCAAAAATTTGGGGTTAACAGCACAAAAGGTAGAGTCCCAGGAGGATTTAGACACTCTGATATTGTCGTAACATTGCTCCCTTTTCAAAGATGTTCCGTAAACGTGGCGGAATTTGCTGCTACGTACCACGCGAAACGACATGTCTATTATTTACCTGAATAAAAAAAAATCCATGAATATATTAATACAAACTTCAAACAATAATATATATATATCAACACACACATACATACATACATATACCTATTTCTCTAAAAGCGGTATTTTAATAAAAGTCACAAGCATAGAACTGACATAGAATATTATCGTCAGTGATCACAGTCGTTACTCACAATCACAATCGTCGGAATTCTAACCTACAAGCGCTCGAATTCGCTGGCAATAAATAAATAATAATATCTCCAGAGAGTATTCCTCGGCCGGCTTATTTTTAAATATCTAGATACATTATTTATTAACAAATAAATGTTACGTAGCCACTTGGGGCGTGGGCGTCGCGTAGATCATCCCCTGAGACTTTTTTTTATAAATAGACCTTCCAAGTTCCCCACTGCCCCGCACGCACTGCCAAATGTATATATCATGTATGTGAGTAAGTATTAACTATATATAAATATAAATATAAATATATTTATGTCCGTTTAAATTTTTTTATTTCACTTTTATTTAATTATTAATTTTTTTTTTTAACTTTTCAGTTTGATTGCGGAAAAATATGTGGGATATTAAATTGACGGGTATTATGAGGAAAGTTAACTGGAGTTAACAACTGTACACTCTGATGTACAATTTAGATTTATTTCTATGTATTGTATCAGTGTGACTACATGCACTTATGGGTTTTATGTGTTGCTAATTGCCTAGCGCGGTCTTGAATTTTTTTTTTTTTTTTTATAAAGAGTTTTTTCATTTTCTTGAAAGAAAAAAAATTTTAATTTATCAGAGTGAAAATAAAGTTTGCCGACACTTAAAAATTTTTATGATTTTTTTTATTAAAAAATTATTACAAAAAAATGAAAAAAAAAAAATTTTCATCTGTTAAAAACTTCAAAAACTATAAGTGCAATTTTTTAATTATAATTTAATAAATTAAGCAAAATAAAAAAATCAAAGATGTCGGCTCACTTTATTATTATTATTTTATCAGACAGTAATATTTTTATTTATTTATTTTTAATTATTTTTTCAATAGTAAAAAATTACATTTATTTTTTCTTTTTTTTTATTTTAATTTTATGAAATTTTTTTCTTTTAATTTTAATTTCATGAATTTTTTTTTTTTAATTTTAATTTCATGAAACTTTTTTTTAGTGATGATAAATTAAAAATTTTTAAATATATTTTATTATTTTTAAATTAATTGACATTTATTAATTTAAAATTAAAATTATTATTCAAAGAAGAAATACAATTTTTTTTTAACTATTTAATAAAAAAAGAAAGATTTCTTTAAATTAAAAACTAAAAATAAATATTATTTTTAAAAATTCTTAGAGTTCCAGGCTTATAAATAAAATTTATAAATTGCTAATGAATAATAAAAAAAAAAAAAGTGTAAATATTAATGAGTTTATTCTGAAGTTTGATTTGGTTATAAAGTAGGCCGTTGTTTTTGGCGGCTCATTTTAACAGGGTCAGATGGGCATTTATTCTTCTCACGTGAAATTGGACACCGAAACTTTTAAACTAACAAATTTAAAAAGACCTATAGATAATAAATATAAAAATTTTATCGGAAGTGAGTTCTATTGAAAAATAAAATTTTTATCTCTACTACTCACACATTCGTCGTTCTCAACGCACACACTTAAATTTTTTTTTCCATAAATTATTAATAAACATTTCCTCGTCTTCATGGTCATTAGTTTTATTTTTAATCGTTTAAAGATTACGTACAAGCATCATTTCTTCTATAAAATTTCCAGTCACTAAATTAATTTATATTTAAAGAAAAATAAAGTCGAGATTTAAAAATTTTTATAATTATTTTTATTGCAAAAAAAAATAACGCAAGTGCAAATTTTTAAAAAATATTTCTTCTAATTTAATAAATTAAAAAAAAATCAAAAGTCGCCTAACTTTAGTAATATAAAAAAAGTACTTACTTTAAAAATATATTGAAGTAAAAATCCAGAAAATTTCTTCACTAAAAATCACTCAAAAAAATCCCATTACATTGAAAATAAATCTAAGTACACAAAAATATTTTTTTAAAACTAAAATTTAACGTGTTTCACGCATATCGTATTTTTGGCAACTATAAGTTCGCAACCCACGGGCGATTTATAATTTTAAACGTACTACGTACACATATGTAAATATATGTATATATAGAAATATAGATATATATAATAATACATATGTAAACGTATTTGCCGACTTACAAATAAAAGCTCATTCGTTCCCTCATCCTCTTAACTTAAAACTGCTCTTTACACACTCGTGGTGAATAATTTAAACAGACACCGAGTGGTGGCGCAAATGCTAACGAAAAACCGGAAACCCTCATCAAACACCTTATTTGGCAATGTTCACCCCTACTTAAAAGCTCATCCCTCAACAATCGCTTATTATTAATCTTAATCTTATAATTATCATCTTCAATTATTAGATCAAATCAGACGAACTTATTCCGCCAGACAGATATAAAATACTAACTTAGACTTATTTTATAATTAATCTATGACTCAAGCGTATAATCATCGAATATAATTATAAGTCGCATTAATTATATGTCTGATTTAAATTTATTAAAAAATTGATTGTATTTAATTTAATTGAAGAAATATTTTTTTTTTTTTCAATTAAATTTCAATTAAAAATTCGGTAATTAATATATTTTGTATTTTTAATAATAATCTTCTCGTGTTGTAGGGATGGTGGTCTGTGCATGATCTCAAACGTTTGAATTACCAGCTATTATCTACTATTCATTCTCCATATTTTTAATAATAATAATCAGTATAATTATTGAAAAAAAAAAATTAATTATTCTAATACATTTAAAATTAATGTAAAAATAAATTACGTTAATTAAAACGTACCAAGAAGAATAAAAAAAATAATAGAATAAATTTTTATCTTCTGTCAGTTTTTCCAACACCTCGTTTGCCTGAAAACAAATGCTTAGGCATTTTTGTACCGATGAAACGATCGGCTTCACCTTTGAGACCTTTCTTCGCGACCTTCTTCCTGATAGCTTTGTGAGCGATATTCTTCAGCTTGGATTTCATCTATAAAAAACATAAATATGATTAAATATCAAACCAACAGTTGCAAAATTTAGGAAAAAAATATTAAAGAAAAAAAAAATTACCACAACATCCTTGATACCCATTTCATCTCTGGCAGGTCTTGAGCTGCTGCGCGCACGAGAAGTCGAGACAACAGACTCGACACGTTGCTTCTTACGAGCTGGTCCAGATAACGAGCGGGATCTTCCTCGAGTCTTGGTGAAGTGAGCATCTCCGGTGTCTTCCATATCAACACCGAGACCTTCCATCTGGTCTCGCAATTTACGAACACTTCTGTCGCGACCGCGAGCTACTGAGGTTCGTGGCATTACTGGTTTTGTAGATTGTTTGTTGACAAGCGATTCTTGCTTATCTATTGCGATCTTTTCACGGATTTGTTGGGCCATCGCACGGATGTCTTTCATTGTTTCTGTTAATTCTGGTACCTTGTAGTCGTAAATTCCTGAAGCGATTCTTAATTCTTCAGCTCTTTCTAATTCATTTAGTTTCTAAAAAAAAATTGAAAAAAAATTATTAATTTAATTATTTATTATGAATTCATAATTATCAATAATAATAATAATAATAATTAAAAAATTTATTATTATTATTAAATAAGTTTTTTTTTAAATCTAAATAATAATAGTGATAATGATAATTCCAAAATTTATTAAATATAATAAATTTTAGAATTATTTTTATTATTATTATTAAAATTTAGATTAAAAAAAAAACTTATTTAATAATAATAATAAATTTCGAAACTATTGTTATTATTATTATTATCTATAGTATTATTATTATCATTATTGTTGAACAAGTTTTGTAAGAAAAAAATCGAAATTTTAATAATAATCATAATAATTTCAAAATTTATTATTATCATTAAACAACTTTTTTTTTATCTAAATAATAATAATAATGATGATGATGATAATTCCAAAGTTTATTAAATAAAATAAAAAAATTTTGGAATTATTATTATTATTAAAATTTAGATAAAAAAAAAACTTATTTAAGAATAATAACAAATTTTGAAATTATTATTATTATTATCAAAAAGTTTTGTAGAAAAATAGAAATTTTGATAATAATAATAATAATAATAATAATAATAATATTAACAATAATAATAATTATAATTATAATAACAATAAAAATGTCTTTGTTTGTTATTATTATTATAATTAATGAATAAAAAATTATCAATGAATAAATCATAAAAAAAAAAATATATATTTACATCGAATATTTCTGGATCGATATAATCAGCAACATTGTGACCTTCCCAAATTTCAGGAATAATATCATACTTCTGATCGCCTTCAATATCATAATTCTTCTTCAAATCAAGAATATAATCATCTCCCATTTCTTCTTCAATATCGCGCTCCAACTTGCGTTTACGTTCGGCTTTTTCAGCAGCCACTGCTTTTTTCTGCAAAACACTAGCAGGAATGCAAGGAGGACGTACTTTGTTGTCTCTTGGAGCAGGAATTGCGACATGGAGACGGTTCAGCAGACCTTCCACTTTCTTGGTCTTGACCTTCTGGTCAACCCGGAAGGATAGCAGTCGTTCACAAGCCTCGTGTTTAACCTCCATCACTCCCTCCTCAGTGACTGTACTCATCGCCAAGATGGGAATATCATGTTCCTCGAATTTCTTGATGACTTCACGCTTGTCATCGGACAGCTCGTCCAGGCCGACCACGTCGATCTTGTTCGCAACGACCATTAGGGGCTTGTTGGCGAAAAGCGGCTTGATCGACTCAAATAGCTTCAGTTGCTCCTCCAGAGAATGACCACATTGCTCAGATAAATCGCAGACGTAGAGAACTGCAGCTCGCAAATGCGCCAAAGCTGTTACTGCTTGCATTTCAATTACGTTACGGTCCTCCAATGCGTGATCTAAGATTCCAGGAGTGTCAATTACTTGCCAGCGTAAATATTTGTAGTCTGTGTGACCTACGTACAATGATTTTGTTGTAAAAGCGTACGGTTGGACTTCAACTTCTGCACGAGTAATCTGAAAATTAATAAAAAAAAAAAATTTAAATTAACATGTGGGTATTTAAAAAATTATAAGCTAAAAATGAAGCATTAATTATTTTAATAAAATATTTAGTAGGTAGAAATTTATAAAAAAAACTCTAATTTTTTTTTTTTAATTAAAATTTTCAAAAAATACTCAGATAAATTTTTCCATTTTTTAAAAAGTATTTTTTTCTAAATCATTAATTTTTATTTAAAAAAATAAAGAGAATTTTAATTTATAATTAAAAAAAAAAAATTAAAGAGAACTTTAATTTATAATTAAAAAAAAAAAAAAATTGACGAGTATAGTTGCTAATTATTAGTTCATTAAAAAAAGTAATATTTTTGAGCACTAAATAATTAATTATACTGAAATTAAAACACTTGAAAATTTTTTTTTGAAAAAAAAAAATCCAAGTTCAGAAAATTATTTTTAATAAATTGCATTTATAATTTCTAAATAAATTTTTCTTGCTATAATTTATTTATTAAAAAAATTCTAAAAATTATCAGACGTCTCTCAATTTTAGTGTGATAATAATGAATAATTAATTAATTAAAAAAAAAAACCTACCTTGTTAATAAAACTACTTTTTCCTACATTAGGAAACCCACAGATAATAATAGTCCTTGTGTAAGGATCAATGCTAGGTAAACGAGCTAAATGCTGACGAACTTGCTCCAAATAAGTCAAGTTAGCAGCTTGTCGCTTCATAATGGTGGCCATACGACCCAAAGCCGCTTTTTTGAGCTGTTTACATCTGTAGAGAGAGTCTCCGTACTTGAGAAGACGAACGTAATCCTTGGCAACACTGAAAATGGACAATAAAAAATATAAATTAATAAATTGAGCGACCTATGAATAAAGAGATGAAGAGATTTAATAATACTAAATTTAGCCGACGTTTTTAATTTTTTAATTTTTTTTTCAGTAATTAAATCAGAACAATAAAATATTTTTTAAAAATTGCACTTACAGTTTTTCAAGTTTTTTACGAATTAAATTTTTTTGTAATAAGTTTTTGAATAAAAAAAAATTCTATAAATTTTTAGACGTTGGCTCACTTAATTTTTATAGTCTAGAGATTCAAGATCAAACTTACTTATCAATTAAATGTCTCGCAGTATTAGTTTGTCCCAGAGCTAATTTGTAATGATCCTTGTCGTACAAGACATTCATCAAGTCCGCGTAGAAAGGGTGGACATCATCAAGCTTCGGGAATTCCTGGATAATCTTAGACAGACGGTCGTGGAAACTCTGCTGGGAGAATTTAACCTTACGGGTGTAAAATGCCCGGATACGGGAGATTTTATAATTTTTGTGAACTACTGTCGGTGTTTTTCTTTGAGTTCGCGATAATATAATATCAATAAAGTCCTGAAAAATAAAATATTTTAATAACCTGCTGCTTAACCAAAATTATGGAAAAACAATTATTGATAATTGTATTTATAATTATTTATGATAATTATATTTACCTTTGCCGTAGGGACTACGGTGATTTTTTTGAAGTTGTACATCGACATCTTGGCTTTTTTTATTTAATTATTTAAATAATTACAATTCATAAGAAACTCACGTGGTGATGTGAATTTTACTTAATGTCTAACCTACAAATTTCCAGCCGATGTGTTTTTCACAGTTCACAAAGATTGAAGACTAGAAGACTAAACACCAGGTGTTGAGAATGCGCACGCTCAATGATGATGCAGGCGGGCTGAAAGCTGAAGATACTCTGTTGGTAATTTATAAAATTACTGTAATGTTATCTGCAAGTAACTAGAGTCACTCTCAAAAAAAACGGCACAAATTTTTTTTTGTTAAAATTTAATTTAAATTTACTATTATAAATTTCTGACTTTTTGTTAAGGTAGTACTACCGGTTTTAGAATTGACGTTCAGAATTTAATGAAATTTGGCATATTTGTACTTTATAATATCATAATTAAGCAGTAAAATTTTTGGAAGCCGAGCAAGTCCTGAAAAAAAGATATTAATATCTACATATTTTTACTTTTACCATTGATCCTTATGGAGAATTACAGACTTTATTTTATTTCACAAAACTGGACGTTCAGATTCTTATAAAAATCAAGACAACGAGAGGAAATAACATCTAGAACATATTTAGTAACAATCAGTATGGTTTCCAAGAATATAAGAATATTTATTAATAAAAAACATTCAAAATTTATCTCTGTCTCTCTTTCTCCAACGTAATTTAGTATATAGGGAAATATGACAGTAAAGTTAGCTAATCATCTGACCAATTTTTAATTTTATTTAACAATTAAATTAATTATAAAAAATTATTTTTAAAAAATTACATTTTTTATTTTTTTTAATTTCTAGATGTCAATTTTTTTTCTTATTTTTTTTGTGATAATTTATTTGTTAACAAAAATTCTAAAAATTATTAAATATCTGCTAAGTTAATTTTCATTAGGGAAATCTACTACGTTATTCAAATAAGGTTAGGTTTTGGGATTTGACACTTGTGGTAACGGTAGTACTACCTTAAGCTATAGTGCATAAATATGTATGTATATGCTTCACGCGCTCTCATTCTTAATAGGAAATCCTTTCGCTCCAGTTGAGTCAAAACAATTGTAGTAGTCAATATACGATAAATTAAAAAAAGAAACCCATAAAAATTCCTAAAATTAAATAATAAATAGTATATGAGGCATTAATCGTTGAAATTTTGAAAATAAAAAAAAAAAATAGTTTCAATACAAAAATTAATTTGACTCTTTCAAATCAACTGCTAGTAACCTGTCCGTGATTTGGCAACGCTGTACTTCGGTTGTTTACATTTTCATTTGCACAATATAACCTTAAACACGTTTAAGTTTTTGCAGTCAGTGTAAATAAATAAATTAGTTTGAATTTATTGAATGGTCTGAAGCTCGCGCGCTACGCAACGTTGCCAAATGTTTTGACTCCATTTTAACGTAGGTTACTTGAGAATTTTTTGTGATTTTTAAATATTAATTTATCAATAAATATCTCGGTAACTGATATATTTTATTGCAAAATAAGAAACCTGAATATTTCGAAAATCTAATTTTTAGTTTTTTTTTACTTCATCTAATCCATGACTGATAGTATAATTCGAGAAATACTGCAAACGTCTGACTTTCTCGTAAGACTCTGAACAAATACTAACATTTAAAAATTTTATTTTTTCAAAAATTTGTCCGGTAAAGTATAATTTAAACCTCACTATTAGATAAATAAGGACTTCAACTATTAGAAAAAAATTTAATTTACTCATAATCTAATATTTTTTATTTTACATTGGCGGCGAAAGGACCTCCTTAAAAAAATCTCACTATTATTAAGTTTTAAGTATCACAATTAGTAAACATTTAACAATTTTTGAGTCAATTTTCTCCAATCAACAAAGAAACATAACCTATTAGTTTTTGGTTGTTGAAACGTTTCAATTGTTTATTAAATTTGTTATTTATTTTTCTAACAAGTAGAATAATAATTTATTTTTATTAAAAAAAAAGTGATAAATAATTTTTAAAAATGTCTGAACGTAAAGTTTTAAATAAATACTATTCCCCGGATTTTGATCCATCAAAAATTCCTCCCATGAAATTAGCGAAAAACCATCAATACACTGTACGACTGATGGCCCCGTTCAACATGAGATGCAAAACTTGCGGAGAGTATATTTACAAAGGTAAAAAATTCAACGCGCGCAAGGAAGACGTCGAGGGAAGCGATTACTTGGGAATAAGGATCTACCGATTTTACATAAAGTGCACGAGGTGTCTGCAGGAAATATCTTTCAAAACAGACCCTAAGAACACAGACTACGAGATCGAGGCTGGAGCTACGATGAATTTCATGGCTCTGAAACTTGCTGAGGAGCAGGCTAAGCGCGAGGAGGATGAAAAGAACGAGGAAGAGGCTTCTAATCCAATGAAGCTCCTCGAGAAGAGGACTCAGCAGTCGAAACAGGGAGCTGGAGGTTCTTGAATCGCTAGAAGACTTGAAGGATCTGAAGAGCAGGCAGCAGACTATCGACTACGATCAGATGCTTCAGCAGTATGACACACTGGCTGACCGTGAAAGGACTTTGAAGGAGCAAGAAGAGCTCGATGAACAGGAGGTTCAATCAATTTTTGGCAAAAAAAATAATATTATTAATGGAAAAGTACTGGAGGAAATAATTGTTGTTCTCCCTGACGAGCCACCTTTAAAGAAAACCAAAACTACTGAGTTTTCGGATAACTCCATAGCTAAGGAAAAAAAATCAGGATTTTCTTGGTCGTCTCCGGGAACGAGTCGGTTGAATTTATTAAAAAAAAAAAAAAACCTTACTTGGTGTAATAACCAAACCAACAAAATTAGTAAACATTTAACAATTTTTGATTTTTTTAATCAATAAAAATTTTAAGTAAAAAAGTTTTTTCTAAGAAATTGAACTTGATTTTTATAATTTTCTACCTGTCAAATTTTTTTTTAATAATTTTTTTCAATAAAAAAAAATTCTGAACATTTTTAGATGTGGGCTAATTTAATTTTCATACTAAATATTTAGAAGAATTTTTTTTGAGGGAGCTTACCCTAATTAGAAAAAGAAATTTAAAAAGATTCAAAATGGCTCAAAACAATTAAAAAAAATTCAACGAAAAATATATAGACATACATTTTGCATGAGTTGAATCGTTTTAAATTAAATCTTTTTTTTTTTATAAGGGTAAACTCTATAGGGTTAAATTAAATGGTTTTTTTTATCTATTTTTATACTTGAATCACTTAATATAATTGTAGTAGGAGATATAAATCATTTAAAACATCTTGGAGCTTTTATATCGGAGGTAGATGATAAGAATAAGACCCAAACGAAATATTTCGCATTTTTTGAGAATCAAAATCAAATTATCTTCACTTATTTACTGTTATTTGGTCTATTTGTTAAGCTTCAGTCAAGAGATATTAATAAATATTGAAGCCGGTAGACCGAAAATAAATATATTAGTTCCAATTCATTATTTCAAAGTGTTTTGCTGATAAAATCATCATTAAAGTAGGAAGTACAATTGAATTCTATTGTTGACCGAATGATAATTACATTAATTTTTTACGGAAGCAATGAGTCAGTGGTTTTATCGGCTATAAAGGGGAAATAAAGCTTGAAGTTAAAACTCAGTTGTAAAAACACTCTTCTATAAATATATTTTTTTTCAAAAGGCAATTTTAAAAAATGGCCGATAAAAAAGAATTTTTTATTCTATCTTGGTTCCTTTGTCTGGTTAGCGCTCAAGATCTTGTTAAAAGTGTAAGTATTAAATAGAATAAATTTATAATTTTCTATTAATATTTTTTTTTTAGTAAACTTATAATTTTTTTTTAATTACAGTTTACGTACGGTGGATTTTTCTACAAGTGCGCAAATGAATCAGTCGATGTCTTCTTCGACCAGAAAATAAATACTGAGGTTAATATGTACACTTCTTTCGCGGAAAATGAGCGGTATGAAGATAAAAATACAGAGTGCTCTAAATATTTTCCAATGCGAAAACCACCCGGACAATTGAGAGCTGAGTTCAAATTTGATACATGCTCAAAAGGAAATCACGATTTTGCGCTGTTTGTTAATGAAATCGCTACTGGATTTATTTTACATCGATTTAATATCAGCTGTTAGAAAAATTAATTATAGTCAAATTTTTATTTTACTTAATTAATTAATTAATTTTTGTATAAAAAAAAATTAATTTCGATACAAATAAAGATATTTTTTTATTTGACACTTATTAAAAAAAAATTTTTGCTAATACATTTGATATAAATTTTTTATTTCTTCTTTAAGTACTATATCTTCTTTACTGTCATTTTTTTAAGTGTTTAAAATTTTTATTTAAAAAAAAAATTATTTTATGTATATAAATTTAAAAAAATTTTAAATACTTATTAACAGAAATAAAAAAATAAATTTACAAATGTAAATTTTTTTGTTACAATTTAAATTTCCCGCCAATTTTAAAAAAAATTCCAAAGAACTTTCCCGTGTCTCCGCCAAGCGGCAAAAATAAAAATTACAAGTCAAGTGACTTTTAATAAACTTGCATTAATGTCATGAGTTAAAAATTGATAATACAATAGATAACAGCTGATAAAATGACTAACAGCAATATAATGCTCAAACAAAGGTCTTATAGAGGCTAAATAAATTACATTAGCAAAGAAAACTAACTTTAAACAATTAAATGTCTGGGTAACAGTACTTGCTCTCATTGTCGAGCAGTGTTTTATTTCAACAATTGCATTGCACTGGAGTATTTGTTTATTTTAAGACTATAAATATTTATTTTGTCAACTTAATAATATAATCTCGTTTTACTGGTAATAAACACCAGAGATTATAAATATAAATTGTTTTGATCTCTCTTTTAATCTCTTGATGGTGAGTAGCATGTTTAGATAATTTTTAACCTCAGTGTATTTTTAAATTAATTAATTAATTTATTTATTTTTAGGTGACTGAAAATTATAGAAATAAAAAATGAAGTTTGCGGAGCATCTATCAGCTCATATTACTCCGGAATGGAGAAAACAATATATCAGTTATGAGGTAAAATTATTTTATTTATTTTTTCTAGTAATTAATAATATTAATTAATTATTTATGGATTTAATTAATGTTACATTAAAGTTAGCAGTCATTTGACAATTTTTTAATTTTATTTTACAAAAAAATTTCTTCGGAAAAATTATTTTTAAAATTTCTTAACGTCAATTTTTTTTGCTATAACTTACTTGTTACAAAAAATGTCAAATATCTGCTACATTAATTTTTATTTAATTAATTAATAGGAAATGAAAGCTATGCTCTATGCAGCCGTCGAAGAAGCGCCGTCTGCAGAGAGTGTGGAACCAGAGGTCATTTCACGACACTTTGCTTCCTTTGATGAAGTTTTTTTTACGTTTTGTGATCGTGAATTAAAAAAAATTAACACATTTTATTCAGGTATTACTTTTTTAAAAAATTGTTATTCTTCTTTAAAAATACACCAAGTCTAAAAAATTATTAAAAAAAAAATTGTATTTATAATAATTTTTTAGAGCTTCTAAAGATAAAATTTTTAAAATAAATTTTTCTGGCTATAATTAATATAAAAATAAATTGAAATTTATTACAGAAAAGTTAGCAGAGGCAACGAGAAAATATGCCGCGTTACAAAACGAATTAAAAACTGCCCTAGACTTGCAGCATGGCAGCCATAAAAATAAAGGAAAGCTAGCGAGTGGCAAATTACCAGCACGGAAAATTCGTGAATTAAAATTAGGATTTTCAGAGTATTATTTATCACTGATATTGCTGCAGAATTATCAAAATTTAAATTACACTGGGTTCAGGAAGATTCTCAAAAAACATGACAAGGTACTTAAAAATACTTTAATTTTAATTCTATCAAACTAATCTTATATATTATTATTATTATTATTATTATTATTATTATTATTATTATTATTATTGAATTAATTATCGTTAATTTAAAAAAAAATTTTTTTCTAGCTTTTATCAGTAGATACTGGATGCAAGTGGCGAGTAGAATGCGTAGAGACGAGTCATTTCTACACGTCGAAAGACATAGACAAATTAATCCACGACACCGAGGCTAATGTCACAAATGAATTGGAAGGTGGTGACCGTCAACGGGCTATGAAACGCCTGAGAGTTCCTCCACTAGGTGAACATCAGAGTCCATGGACGACTTTTAAAGTTGGATTATTTTCAGGAAGCTTTATTATATTATTCGTCGCGGTTGTACTTTCTGGTAATTTAATTTTTTATTTTAAAATATTTAATTAATAATTTTTTTAATTTTCTACTTTGAGATATTTTTTTAATAATCTATATTATCAAAAGAATAAGCAAAATTTTGTGGCCAGTGTATTTATATGATAAAATGGGTTTTTATGGTTAAATTTGGTATCGTTGGAAAAGTCTTGATCTGGAATTATCTCGTGAACTAATGACATTTTTAAAAATATAAGCCCATCCCGATGTTACACTCATCAAAACCTTTCATTTGAGTACCCACATCAATTTTTCATATATTTATATATATATATATATTATATAATATATATGTATATATGAAAAATATATCAAAAATGCATGTGGGTACTCAAATGAAAGCTCTTGATGAGGGTAACATCAGGATGAGCTTATATCTCTAAAAATATCAATAATTAGCAAATGACCTTGTATCTTGTCAACTACTGACATTTTTAAAGACATAAGCTCATCTCGGTATTACACTCATCAAGACCTTTCATTTGAGTACCCACATCAATTTTTCATATATTGATATATATCATATATATGTATATATGAAAAATATACCAAAAATGCATGTGGGTATTCAAATGAAAGCT